GCAGCTCACGAACAGTATGAACGAGGTGAGACAATGGGCAATGAGAAATCAACTGAAAATAGAGGTCAGTACGAACATGGGGAGTACGAATATCGGGTTCGAAATAAGTATATCTCTCGATGACGCTAGAACTGCGGGAAGCACAAGGAGAGACAACGACGAGTCCCACATATATCCCCTATCTGACGATTACCACGATGGCTATCATATTATGTGACTACTAGGACGATGCTTTACCGCATCTGTGCCGATAGAGGACTCATTTTCTATAGTTTACATCAAGACTCAATGGGCATGCCTCATAATAGGCTGCCTTCCTCTGTTTATATGTCTCTATTGCCTCAGCCCTCAACTCAGCTGTAGTCTTGGCTTTACTACTGCTGCTGTTGCCATCGTTAGCTGTCTGAAGAAGCATCCAACAACTCGATGACCTCACATAACTGTATCCCATGCCCACTTTAATGTCTGTATCATTGCTACTCTTCGGTTCATCCTTCTCAATTGGTTCCCGATACACATCCCTCACTAGAGCCCCCGATGGTGTAGTGTACAAAGGACCGTAGCTTGCCCTCAATTCAGTGTCCATAGTCCGCTCTATATCTGTTCGTAATTCCTCAGCAGTAAGCCTTTTACTCATGGCAGACTTCACTCTCCTCTCTACCATCTCCTCATCGGATAATGTACCATCACCTATTCAATACTAATGGCCCTCACTCCAATGCTTTGTTCAATACCTATTACAATCCCTTCTTTGGACTTGTCAGCTGCCTTCCGACGTGAGTAATGCATGGTACCAGGTGCAGGGAACGACTCCAAGAAGTGACGCGAGTCAACGGGGAATTTTCCAGCATTCCTCCGTACCTCACATATACAAAGATCGGGTATAACTATGTTAGCAGCGACTCACTATATCGATGCATTTATCCACATCTTCATCTGACATATCCTTGAAGAATACATCACACTCCGCTAGAGCTGCCTTCACTTCAGATGCTCCTGCTCGGGAATGATCGACATCCTCTGTGAACCAACTCTCGAACTGAGGAGGACTAACACTGTCGCCCACCAACCCTTGGTCTTCGATGATAGAAAATGATACTGCTCACATAGATGGCTCTGTCGTCAGGATCCAATGCTGCTAAGCTGTACACAGTCTCAAAACCTCTGAAGGTGACCTTATCCTCCTCTATTGTGGGGTTCAGCCGTCCTTGATTTACGGGATCCTCCACAGCATTGATACTTCGATACAGCTCATCCCAGTACTGTGATGGGGAGGTATACTCTCCTGCATCTAGTCGCTGGGAAACATACCTACAAATAACAGCATACTTCATACACGGTTGACAAGGCTTCTTACCCAAGATATTTCTGCATCAAGGGATTGCTTGTAGCTCGAGTAAGCTTAGCTACTACACCCTTACACCAGGTAGCCACCTTAGGCACCGTGAGGATATTATCGACGTCCATTATGTAATGAGGGGCTCTCGAACTTGGAGAGAAAAGGGCTGTATCATCCATACCACTCAACAAAGATTAACACATGAGAAACGGCATGTTTTCAAAATTACAGCACACTCAGTTGTAGATGATCAATGATAGATGTGAAGATATTTCTTGTATACTATGACCAATAGAGAGCCCATTGATGAAGCTTTTCCATAACAACAGGGAATAGTGCATTAGTTGAATCATTAATAAGGCCTAGGAAGCGGGACTCTGCCTCCTCTTCGGATATCTCAGGAGCCAACTTCTGTTCCATCCTAGATAATACCATCTGCGGATCCTGAACGGCACCATGAACCATAACAGGAGGACAAGATATCTATACCCATCACCGGGTACATAGTACTACCTGTTCGACGAGATCCTTTATATTAGCTCCTTGGACTAGGCCTACTAGACTCAATATAAGCTTTGAATTCATTCTGAGTATGCGATAAGCTGAGTAGCAGTATTGCCGGAATAGCCTAAAATACTCAGAGTTCTGCCCACCCATACCTGAGATAATCCTCAATGTTGTACAGTAAGAGTATCTATCACCTTCAACCATCTCCTTACACAGCTTCATAGGTGGTGGTAGGGGCTTAGGGTCTCGACCAAATATATACCCAAAGTCAACGTGGAACATATGACCCACATCGTCTACCATGAGGTTATCCAGATGTCTGTCACCAATACCCAACACATACGTTATGACACAGTACCTGATTTGTCATACCTTCATTCAAGACTACTACTACTACTACTACTACTACTACTACTACTACTACTACTACTACTACTACTACTCCCTCTACTACTACTACCCCTCTACTACTACTACTACTACTACTACTACTACTACTACTACTACTACTACTACTACTACTACCCCTCTACTACTACTACTACTACTACTACCCCTCTACTACTACTACTACCCCTCTACTACTACTACTACTACTACTACTACTACCCAGCGCAGCTCCGCGAGAATGTTTCCAGAATCTCCTTCAGTCTGGTCGACTCAGTGCCTTGAGCTCCATTACTTGCCTTGGCGCAATGCTTGAAATACCTGAGCAAAGGGGATAACGCTCGACAACGAGTAGTAACAATACGTCATGAGGTTGTTGCCGTTCTCTCGTAGTGCTGAGCTCAGTGTTTTGCTCTTTGAAACGAATTCAATCATACCATCACGGGGTGATAGCGCCACAACCTTATCAACCACAGATATTGACGCAGACAACAGGAGAGTCGTTACTACTACCTTATAAGGGGTAA